ACAGCAATCACCCATCAGCGGGATTGATCTGGGAAGCACAAATTGGCATTGAACCCAGGGTGATTGCTTATGGAACTGATCGATAGAACTAGCTGAGAGACTGGCGAAACGAAGGACCCGCATGGTGTGGTGGTGAGCGCGTTGGCCCCAGAAAGGGTAATGGCGCGTTCGTTCCCCAGTTTTAGAGTTTTGCAAATGTCTCAGCATCTTGTGAAGACTATTAAGCCACCCAAACGTTAAACTGTGCATTTCCTCGTATAAGTTTCTTAATTACAAAAGCCCGTTAGCTGACATTTCTGCGACTTCGCCTTCTTAACAGCCTGGACGTATTTTACGTAACGATGTCCACATAACTTTGATGATGCTGAGATATTTGCAAAACTCCGGACCGTAGGTGCATGCGGTGGTGAACGAACGCGCTATTGTCCTTTCCGGGGAGTAGCGCGTTCACCACCATGCCATGGGGGTCCTTCGTTTCGCCTGTCTCTCAGGATAGTTCTAACGATCTCTCGACCCCGGAAAGGACAATAACGCGTTCGTTCCCCTCCGCATACATCTGCGGTCCCGAGTTTTGCAAATATCTCAGCATCATTGAAGTTATATTTTGCAATATATACCATGCTGTTAAAAAGAGTAGGCAGTAAATAATAAGTTAAAATTCTAACCTAAATTTTTCGGTGCGCATTTATGCATACATGTGAATTGATTACTTAACGGAACACGAGAGAGACGAAAGGAAATGCGTACTTATCGGGATAATTGGACGGACCGTCTTCACGAGTTGTGCAGACCCCAGAACATCTTCCACTCATCTCCTTCCCTTCCAGTGGCTGTCCATGGTGGTGGTTTAATTCGAGCATGATGACGGGTGGGAGTCTCATACCGTGATCCGTGAAACAACTCAAGCTGTGAGTACATCTGTCCGAAGGGAAAAAAATAGATAAAAGAAATAAAAAGACAAACTTATCAAGTTGAATGAAGGCTAAGCTATGATGACAGATCTGGTTCCATTTAACTGCCGAAAGATGTTTATGTGAAGTGATTCATCAAAAATTAGGCTATTTAGTCGTATCTAAACACTGTGGATTTATGCTATCCTGCATATGATCGATATTTCTTAGATATAATAATTCCTTAGGCGAAAATTTGAGGGATGAGTTTTATTTATCATCCACCTACAGAATTTTCTCTAATAGTCGGTTTTTTTAGTAACTGATATGAAGGATTAGAGTAAAGCTTATCCGGAAGCTGTATATCTATCACTCATGGTTCTTGCTATTAGTAGGTGGCGTGAGATGGCTGGCAGTATTAGTTTTCTGTAAGCATTTGTTTTTATCCTTCACATATAGATTTGTACATCTATATGTACGTAAATATGTATACGCATATATGTATACATGAACATTTGCATATATATATATATATATATATATATATGGTGATTGAAATTTCGTTTTTGAAAATATGACACGTACACTGTTTACCAAGTGGTATGAAATCGTAAATGAGACCTAGTTTTTCTCAACGATACCCTATGTTTCGTCTCGTTTGTCGTTCAGAATTCGTTTGACGAAAATTAGTTTCTGGAATGGCCGACGAAAAACAGATGTTGAAAAGGGGAACAAAAAAATTGCAACTATCGCCAACACAGCACATACTCGATCAAATCTCTTGGCTGCGAATATGACTATTGATTAAATATGAAATACAGGATGTGTCCATGATCAGAAGTCCCAATCATAAGTATCGAAGGTTTTAAAGTCATTTCCTCATTATAACGATTCGTTCCTCCGAGATGGATATTCGGAGATAGCCGTTTTGTTAAACCGTGAAGAACCAACTCATTAATATGTATATGCTACACGCGCAGTTTTTAGTCGTTAGAGGTGCTTTGCAATGCACATGGAGTGGGTTGGTGCGACGCCACACCTAGGGCAAACCAACTCCCTCATCTATGCGTGGACGTCGAATTGATAGGAGATTTGCGAGGACGGAAGCAGGATGAGTCGAAACATGAAGAAGTCACAATAAGCCATCGTATGGATCAGCTATGCATTCAGCCACCTTTACGATGCTTATTCGATTTTAATGCATGGGGCAACCCTAAGGAATTGATCAACTCCGAGCATTTTAGCATCTTCATCCTTTGTGTTACATCGTGTTGGCCACCACATAAAGGATAAAGCTCTCGGCGTTGATCAGTCCCTGAGGGATGCGCCATGCACTCGATTTCATTAAGCATCGTTGGAGGTGATTGAATGCATATCTGGCCTTTATAATGACTCACGATGGCCTACCGATGTTTCGAGCCAGTGCTGCTACTCTTCCAGATAAGTCTGGTACCAATTTGCCGACCGTGGAGGGATGGAGGGCTAGGTGAACCTGGGGCTCAGGGATCGATCCCATGTGTGGTGCAGAGCGCCTCCGACCACCGCGTCACACAAGCCCCAGTCACTAAATAACCCTTGTGTAATCGGACGCAAATGTCAGCTGTAGGTAACATAATAGTGGTTTTTGTTTTCATTAGAAAGAGAAAAAAATACATCGAAAGGTAGTTCAGAAATGATTTTAAACGTAGTTTCGTTTTCCTTCTTCAGTGATGCGGTTAGCGATTGGCTTGATTGTCTATGCAATTTAATAGTCATCCTAGTTTTCCGAAAGCTTCAATTGTTTGAGAAATTAAGTCAGTTTGTTTTTTGTATGGGAAATAAAAGACTAAGTTTCAGAGCTTCTCTTAGAATCCGTCATAGTCATGTGTTTACGTAAACAGCGAGTAGGTTTAAGATGATTAGAGGGGTTTCAAATATGGTTTACTTTGCTCCAGAACTATATTCGCCAAATCGTTTTATATATTCTGCCTACCTTTGTCTGAGTGAATCCAATTCGTTCTTTCATTATTGGATAACCAGAGCTATAAGAACTCTAACTATAAGAAGCCTAACTACAAGGAAACTGAGACATGAGCAAAACTCGGAACCTGTGATAGGCTTCATACCCCGGAGGTTGCAGAGAACTTTACCGGAGGCTCACGTACTATCCACTAAGCGAACGGAGGCTCTTGCTTTACCATTCTCTCAGCCGTGTTTATTAAGAGGTTTATTGTGGAATACTTATGTTTTACATGCCAATTAAGAATTCGTATCCAAGAAGTAAACGTATTTTTGACAGGGTTTTGTTCCAATTGTGGCAAAGCATTTATCGTCGATTGCTGTAGGCTTAGAATTTGGAAAATGTCGGTCGACCATTCATTAAAGTATCTGGTGACAGAGTCTAGTAATTTCAGCACTACAGATCAAGTCAGTGATGTTCCTCGTCATCATCAATGAAGATAATTCTTCCACAATGACTTTTACTTCCCCACTGAATTTTCAATCGTTTATGAACTAATACTAGTTGGCAGTCTTCTGAAATTTAAAGTGCATCATCGATCACAGATCTCTGTTTCATTTCTGTTCAAGTTCTATCGTTTGCGCTAGTCAACAAAGCGATTAGTTTGCCCATTGTGGTGGTTTCGGTGGGTATGGTAGCAATGGGCGTTGTATATTGGCTCGAATTGCTGACCAGGGAGAGGTTTTGCAATTGATGACGTAAAATGAGGGTGGACAGAATGAGGAAGCAGGCAGAGGCTCGAGGAGGAACAACAAGCTCGACCGCTGAGAAGCAGGAGGGGAGGCAAGCCGGCCATCCGTGAATCGATAGCCAGCCAAAGGCAACTAGTGTGCTGTTAGCTGTTCAAACGAGAGCAGTTTTCCTGCATCTAAGCATGCTACCTACACACACGTACCTTGTACGTATACACGAACATATACACGCGTGCACGCGCTCGTATATATATATATACACACAGACACACACACATACACACATGCACACATACACACACCTACACATACACACATACAACACACAACGCACACACATTTACACCCATACACATGCAGACATGAAAGCGAATAAAAGTTTTAAGTGACATGAATTTCCTTCTTTTTTCTGTATTTTAGGTTTATTCGACCTCATAAAATAATGACTTCCACTGTAGGAAAGTAAGACATGAATACTGCAGTAAATGCAGCACAACGGGAAGTAAGAACTTTGCTTGTGCTGTCTTCACAATTATTATGCGCTTTATAACAACTCTTCTGACGTGGCGATTTATGTTTTCATAACGAAAAACGCAGTATCACACTAAAACTAGGGTAGATAGAAGCACATATAAAGTTTGTTACTGAAGTAGTTTATGTGGAAGGAATGATCAGGATAATCGAAATTGATAGGGAAAGAAGAGAAGGGGAAGGCATTTACGTATGCGTCACAAGGAGGATAAATTTAGTTACAGCCGTTTATAATGTGTTGTTTTAACATGTGTGAAGTTAGTTATTGGTGGATGTTAAATAGAAGTGCTTGGATAAGTTCAGTTCTAGATGGACACACGACCCTGCTATAACTTCTCAGATTTGGGATTAGCTTTAAAGGTAGCATGTTGAGCTTTTAGCTTCCTTAAAAGGTTCTTGCCTTCATTCGTATCTATGGATGTGGATAAGGAAAAGGATATAAGTTTTTTATTCAGAAATTCTTTCTGTAGAGGAAAAAAGTTCAATGGTTACGATTGTGAGCTTTTTTGTTCTTGATTATCAAAAAAAGCTCAGAAATGTTCCGCTTTATTTGTTTGTTAGCACATAAACTGAGAGCATATTAACCATAAGGATGATGAAGTATGAGCAAAACTCGAGACCTCAGTCGGGCTTCGAACCCGCGATTAATCGTGCCGGGAGCTTTCTTGCTATTCACCGTTCCAACCAACATCCTTCCTTTGCCTTTCTGTGTTATCTAACAAGCTAATATTTCAGTATCTGGTTCTGCAATATTATGTAGTAGATCCAAATGAAAGCGACATTTTCTACTATTTCTCAGACCTAAAAGGAAGGAAACCATCTGCGTTTCCAAATAGTAGATTTCCACTAATTCTTCTTTTGTTAGCCGTTGTTGCTTTGTCGAAGGTAATGCGCGCTAATTGTAAGGGACAGCTGCGAGCACTATCACGAGGTTCTGCAGGGAAACGAGGATTTGTGAACACAGCGGGAGTTGAATGAATGGTTAATAAAGTGTAGTTTAAAAAAAGGCTCCGGAAAAAAGAAAGAGAAGTTATGCAGGCTTTCTATGCTGCTAATATAATTGGAAAGACATGAATAGCAGATATCCTATTGTTGTTTTCTTTTGTAAATTTTAGGTGTGCAGTATCCTGTGTCAGAACGGTTGACAATAGATCAGGTTTACGAGAGACGAACGGGAAAGCCTCGACATGATGTGCTCAGAGATTATTTTATTAAGGTGAATCCATTTTTCATCTAGTCGTCGTCTTTTTTTCCGAGGAGCGTTTTTTAGCTGTTCACTGTTCTTTCTGCTTTTTATGCACTCTCACCTATTTTCCATTCCCACCTTTCATCTTATGCTTTCCTCTATTTTAGGAGGGTCGTATCGAAGAAGACGCGGCTATACGTATTATCCAGGAATGTACAGCGTTATTTCGACAAGAAAAAACTATGCTAGACATAGAGGCACCGGTCACCGTATGCGGTGACATTCATGGGCAGTTTTATGACCTCATGAAGTTATTTGAGGTGTGTTTTGCGAATACAGCACGGGTCCCATCGTTTCTCACTTTTTCCTTTCACGTTCGTCTAGAAAACTTGTACATACCATCGGTATATATGTGAGCTTCGTTTTGTTATTGTACTTTTTATTCATATATAAATGTCAGCTATTTTTCTATTTCAACTTGATCTATAAGCGAGGACGAATTCAGGTCGGTGGCTCACCAGCCACCACGAAGTATCTGTTCCTTGGTGACTATGTCGATCGAGGATACTTTTCGATTGAATGTGTTCTTTATCTATGGGCGTTGAAGATTTGCTATCCAAACACACTTTTTCTATTGCGAGGAAATCATGAGTGTCGTCATTTGACCGAGTACTTCACGTTCAAGCAAGAGTGTAGGTTTTTGTTTGTTGAGTTCAGTCTATAGTCCATAACTCCTAGGTAATTATTTTCCGGTCTTCACCTTTTTTTCTCATTAAAAATATTTAAATAGTCTCGCTTAAACATTAATTTTGTTCCGACTTTACGTCTAAACCTCGCAAATGTTCACGGTGTTACCGTGTCTGTGGGTGATTCTGGCTGAAGAACTGCGTCATATCAATAGTGTTACCAAAGCTGAGAAACAGTTTAACATTTCTACCTGGAATCCAGCTAACAGTGTATGAAAACCCCTAATTAGCTCTGTTCTGGTCCCAAGCGACTGGTGGCAAATCTTCTCCAACAAGCATTAGTGAGTAACTGCATATTCTGCCTGTGTTGGCCTTCTCGAGACTCAGAAGAAATAAAGAGTCTTTCCTGATCAGACATTTACTACTTAGGTAGGGTTCTTCTGGAGTGCATACTGTTCTTCTTGAAAGTGGGCCATTCAATTATTCAAGCAAGATGCTTTTAAAAAAGTGTAAGGTTCGTGATTTATTCGTATGAATGATAGCACATTAGTAAGCCGAGGTTCTTTCCGCATTGATCCACTGGGCTTTTCCGTTCGTATACAGCAATGTCAACTGATTTGTCATTCGATGGTTTTTTTCTCAGCATTTCCTATCATATTTCATGAAACAATAGTTCTATAGGTCGAGAACGTTGAATACGTTTCGCTTTCGAGCAGTTTATGTTTGGTTTTTGTTTATTCGTTCCTGAGAATGTATAGTGATCAGATAACTAACAACACTATGCAGATGGGTTTACTGCTTGTTCTGTCTAATTAGTGTGCTACTCGGCTTTTCATTTCTGTGAAATAGAAGTCTAATCGCGTAAAAAAAACACGATATTGGTTTGGCATCTTGATTGAAAACTTTGAGAATAGTCGTCTTCACAAAGTGCGAATCATTTGGCTTCATATGAGATTCTAAAAGTATTGTAGCGTATGTACGTTATTGGAACATCTTTGCAATATGTCAGATTTCCTGCTTAGAAATAACTAAGAAGAAGGGAATACTGTGGCGTACCGCAGATTATTCGTGCCTTATTTGTCCATAAAAAGGGTAAGGCTCTCGGCGATTATCCTTCCCTGATGGATGCGCCATGCATTCGACTTCACTAGGCATCATTTGGAGGTGATTGAATGCATGTCTAGCCTTTACAATGACTCACGGTGGCCTATCGAAGTATCCAGCCAGTGTTGCTATCCTCCCAAACAAGTCTGGTACCAATTTGCCGACCCCAGAGGAATGGAGGGCTTGTTGGGCTATGTTCGCGAGGATCGATTCCACGTGTGTATTGCAGGGCGCCTCCGACCACTGCGCCACACGCGCTCTTCTTAGCATCGTTAAGCTTTGTAACTTTCTAGTACTAAAATCTTATAGTTCAATACATATAGAACTTATTAAAAGACATCTATTCCTGAAACATCCATGGAGTCTACAATTTTATATAACTGTTGTTTTCTTTTGTGATCAGTTGATAACGGAATGGTAATAATGAAAGTGGGAGCTAACGATGATCATCTTTCCTTTAATGCGTCCAAGATGTCAGGAATCTAATCAAGCTCCATGCTTCTGTCACCTTGACGACAACTTCAACTTCGTTATTTTGCTCATGCGAAGGGAGTATTAGGATGAGACAGAAAGAGAGATTGCATGTGTTGGTTCTAGTGTGTGCTACAGGTCTCAAGGCAAAGTTGTTGTTATAACAAACCTATAAATAGAAGTAATTCTTCGTATTTTTGTTGAGCAAACGCGAAGTGTTATTCGCCTTCCTCAGAGCCTGGAAAGGTCACGTTGACAGCAACCTATTCTGTCAAACACCTTCATAACCAAACAGAGAAACTCTAAACCAAGATTTCAATCACGTTGAACACAGCTTTACACACTCACCGCTTTCTATGAGGTTTCCACTAAGTATGTCACGTAGAGACCAACCGCACAGAAATCACGTGGAAGTATAATGTGCCCCTCCCATCAGAATAGCAGTCTTATATACTGCCCTATATCACGCGTGATAATGAGGCATTCTTCCCTGCGGTTCATTTTCGGATTTCTGGAATTAATCCAGAGTGCCTCGAGAGTTTTTCGCGCCTGTGTTCTTGATTCGCGTGCGAGGATCGTGACACATACTTCGAAGTCGTCCCCGTTATGTCTCTGGGTCCTATGCGTGCCTAGCGATGTATTTGGTCTATGTTTGCAGGCTAGATGTTCTTTTATGCGGACACAGAGGGGTCTACCCGTTTCGCCAATGTATTCGTCACCGAACGTCTTACAGGAGATCAGATAAACTATAGCCGAGCTCATGCAATCACCGTCTCTACCACTGGGGCAAATTATGCAATTTTGAGTTGCACATAGACGGTCACATAGGTGGTTACGAACTAGCTGGCGCTTAAGATTACTCGGTGGTATTTCAACTGCGCTTACCGAATTCTCTAAGCCCGCCCTTCTCAAGCAGCGTTTTATAGCTGTACTTATATCATTTGAGATGAAGGGTAGGATAAACGGGACCCTTCTATCGCTAGAGTTGTCGTTTAGAGGCCTACGATTTCCTCTACACCTATCCTGAGCTACAGTTTCGTAGCCATTAGAAATGGTTATTTGCCGTGCCAAGTTCCGGGACTCCTCTCTCTGCTCTCTTCCCGTCCACACGTTGGTTGCTGTTCGAAACATGTTTCTTATAAGCGCCCTTTTCGTGTGAGAGGGGTGAGAGGAGAGGTAATGAACCAAGATGTTTTTACTACTTGGCTTTCGGTACAACTTCGTAATGTAGCCATTTTCTGATAGATAATGATAAATAGATAATAATGTAATTCGGTTTTTCTGGATATGTGGTGAGTCTGCAGGAACAAATGTACGAAGAAGCGGAGATGGTCATAGTACTACATATAAAGTCCAGAACATATCGGCTTTTAGTACATCATTTAGACTTCAGTTTCCTAAAGGCTTTTATTCCGTTCTTAAAAATATACGAGAAGTAAGCTTTTCCTTCTTTTCGTCCCATTATCTATGTGTTGAATTGAGGTCCGTAATCAGATGAACGCGAATTTATGGCACTTATTATTTCCGATGAGACTCATTTCTTTAAAGCGTCCAGAAAGGTTTTAACTAAAATTAGGTCCTTGAGGAAAAGCGGTGTTCTAAATCTTTTACGCTTTTTTCTAATAGGAACAATCTTTGTGTTATAACTACGTCATTTTAAAGTGCAGGTATCGCTCAACGTTATCACACCAAGGTCTTTGTTTCATTAGCAAATACATATTAGGTTTAAGCTATTGCAAAAAAAAATGCGGAAAAAAGAACAAAGTTCGTGCATCTCTTGTAAGAATCCGAGCATAATCACAATGATGCTGAGATATTTGCAAAACTGCAGACCGCAGGTGTATACGGTGGGGAACGAACTTGCTATTACCCTTTCCGGGGGCTAACGCGTTCACCACCACACCATGCGGATACTTCATTTCGTCTGTCTCTCAATTACTTTTCTATTGATGAGTTCTATCAGCAATCACCCGTCAAGGGGATTGATCTGGGGAGCCCAAATCGTCAATGAACTTGGTTAAGCTGAGAACATAGAATACTCTGGCGTGGAAAATAGTATTAGTTAGTAAATAAAAAAAATATTGTAATCCAAACATAGTTTTAGAGCTGGAGAATGGTGCAATCTTCCATTTAGTCACAGAACCACAAGTGATCGCACCGCGCAAAGTTGTTTTAAAAGTTCTTGTGGCAAAGAGGAAAGTTCCAAGGATGAGAAATCTTGGAAGTCATGTGCTTTCATTACTGACGAACACCTGAAAAAGCCAGATGCTGCAGTTCCATCACATTCAAGACCTTATGGAGAATTTTAAACAGAGCCGCAGTTTCTCAGCAGCTCAACCGAATCTGGATTTTAGAAGGTTTGAAAAGAAAAAACAGTCAAGACATCGTCAGTGCGAATTCGGTTCAGTATTGATTTATGCAATAAAAACCATTCGTTCCATGATCGAATTGTGACGTGTTACGAATAATGACCTCCGTTTGACAACTGACAAGGCCCTGCTGATCAGATAAGGATCAGACAATAACTTAAGCTAAGTTTTCACCAGAAGAAGGTTATAACGATATTTTTTGTACCCTAGAAAAGTCGTCGTAGAGGAACCACTGTCAAGGACCTGGCGAACTACACCATAAGTCTACTAAAACGTCCAGTATCGGCATTGATCATTTGAGAGCGGCTTGCACGCCAGCGTGCTGTAACAACACAGCACAACTGGCGTTGTAAAATTTAATAAGTTGGTGTTCAACACTCCATTCAACATACTCACTGGACCGCTTAATAACTGAAGCCACTTTGTACTTTGTAAGGCAACAACTTATGGAGGTCTTTCTCAAGGCAAAAAAGTGTTGAAAGTATCGTTGGTATTTAGAATACTCGCGGTGAACTTCATAAATCTAGAATTTTATTGCGATAGAATATATAGACAAACTTCAATGATGCTGAAATATTTGCAAAACTCCGGACCGCAGGCGTCTGCGATGGGGAACGAACGCACTATTGACCTTTCCGGGGAGTAACGCGTTCACCACCACACCATGCGGGTCCTTCGTTTCGCCTGTCTCTCGACTAGTTCTATCGATCTCTTCCATCGGCCATCACCCGTCAGCGAGATTTATCTGGGATCCCGAATCGGCAGCGAACCCAGTTAAGCTGAAGCTGTAGTTATAATCACAATTTTAACTTATTATTTACTGCCTGCTCTTTTTAATGGTAGGGTATATTGCGAAATATACCTTCAATGATACAGACAAACTTCTTCCTCAGAAAGTTTATCGGAATATTTCAAGGAGCAGGGTTGGAGGTGCCCTGCAATGCACAAGTGGTCGCTGGTTCGATCCCGCCTTCAAGGTTCACCAAGCGTTCCATCTCTCCGGGATAAGCAGTTTCGCATCAGACTTTTCTAGGATGGCAGCACTGAGTCGATACATCGAAACGACACCGCAAATCATTGTATAAGCCAGATGTGCACCTAGTCACCTCTAACGTTCCTTAATAAACTCGAATATTTGGCGCATTCGTCAGGGATAGATCAACGCTACTGTACCCTTTGTCCTTTTATATATGTAAACATATAGCTATTATATATACATATATATATGTATGTGTATCACCTGTATCAACTGTAGTCCCATTGATCGTCGAGTGACTCGAGCGGGTGACAATAAATCTTCCATTTTTCCCTGTCGCGTGCAAGAGTAGCCCAGTGGGTTCTGCTCGCTCTAGGAGCTCGTTGAGCATCATATCTTTCTTCAAGGCTTTTCGTGAAGAACTCTGGCCATCGAGTCGGTAGTCTTCCTGCAGTGTGTGTAACATCACGAGGAATCCAGTCACTTAAGCCTCTTGTCCATCGGTTGTCGTTCATACGCATTACGTATCCGCCCACCTTTTCTTCGACTGTTTGGTGTAAAGAGAGGCATCTTTGATTTTTGATCGTTGACGTAAGTCGGAGCTTCGGTTGCCTTCCCTTACCTGTGTGACTTGGGATATTCGTAGCATCGTCTTTTTGTCTGCGCTTTCAATAATGCTGGGTGATTTTCATATTGCTTACGCAGCGACCAGGTTTCTGACTCATACGTTAGCGCAGGAACTACTGTTGAGTCGAAAAGGTGGGTACGGAGTCGGGTATTCCTTGTTCTCCTCGCTACTTCCTCGATGTTCTTGGAAGCTCCCCATGCTGTTCGTTTCTTTCTGCTCAACCCTGGAGCTAAGTCGTTTATCATATTGATTTCCTGACATAACTTGAGCATTTGGAGATATTCGTTCCGTTGAGCGTAGATAGGGCGTTCGAAACCAATCCGTTCCTCATGAACATCGTTTTTGTAAGATTTAGTCGAAGACCAATTTTTTCACAGGCTTTATCAAAGTCTGCCAGCATTCGTTCCGCTTGGCTGTTTGGTGTTATAAGGGCTATATCATCAGCAAAGCGAAGATGGTATAATTGCCGACCGTCCATTCTCACTCCCATGTTATCCCATATTCACCCATTAGTGTTTGCATGGCATTTAGAAGGTGGCGGTAAATAATTTTGGCGCGATGTTAACTCTTTGCTTAACTCCTCTTTTGACGTCAATGTTAATATCGTTGTAGAATGGTGATATCTTAGTTGTCAAATTTTTGTACAGCTCAGGAAGAATCTTTATGTACTGGGTTAGGACTCCTTGATTACCAAGGACTTCCATAACTGCTTCTATTCCAATTAAATCAAAGGCCTTCTGTAAATCGACGAAAGTGAGACAGAGTGGTCTTTTATAGTCTCACGATGTTTCAGTAATTCTTGTTATCGTGTGGATGTGGTCCATCGTACTAAATCCTTTTCGAAACCCTGCCTGCTCACGTGGCTGTCCTTCGTTTAGTGTTCTGTCAATCCTGTTTAGGATGACTGAAGTGAAAAGTTTGTAGACGACAGACAGCAAGTAGATCGGGCGATGGTTGCCGATATCGTGGAGGTCACCCTTCTTGAACATTAGCACGGTTTTGTTGATCTTCCATTGAGTGGGACTTTGCGTTCAGACAGGTAGCGTGTGAAGGGTCGAACCAGTGAGTTAACGAGGACTGGTGGAAGGTTCTTCAGGTGTTCAGATCCTATCCTGTCCGGACTTGGTGCTGTTCAATTGTTCACCGACGAAATGTCATGTCGGATTTCGGAAGGGAGAACCGGTGGTACAACATATCCATCCTCCTTTATTTCATATGACGGAAGGTGGACGTAGCCATCGAAGAGATCTGAGTAGTATTCGTAATGATTTTCTTCATTGTCTTTCTGCCCGCTGTAACTGTTCCGTCTGGGCGTCGGAGTGCAATCATCTTGGTCTTGTAATTGGCGAAGCCTCGATGGGCCTTGCGAATGTTTTCCCAGCTTTTGCAGCTTCGACCATTACTGTTGCTCTTCTCTCTTTAAGATCTTCTTTTATCGCCTGTCTGCATTGTTTTGCAATTTCGGACGTTAGTTCGCTGTTCCCTGCAGCTCGTAGGATTCCACGCTGGCGTATCAGCTTGAGTGTTTCTGGAGACAGACATCTCTTGCTGACTTTCGCATTCTCAGCTTTCAAAGCGCTGACGTGTATATGTTAAATTAGCTGATCGTATTCTTCGTTTATGTTATCGACAACGGCATCTTGCCAGCAGCTGACTAATGAGTTGAGGAATCCGCAATTTATAGAGATTTTGGGACCTCGTTTTTTGAATTTAGCGGCTTTTTCTTCTTTCTCCGAGAAATGGAATCTTGCACGAAGGAGGCGGTGGTCTGATCCCGTGTAGAATTTTGGGACAACGGCGACATCGGTTAAGCAAAACCTTCGGTTCACTATGTGTTTTATTTCGTTATGATACTCTCCACTGGTAGACTCCCGTGTCCAGCGTTGAGAGTGGGGCTTCTGGAATTACGGGTTACCATAGATAGTCATGATAAGCTCTGAAAGCAGCTCACTCTGTTCGTTCCATTCAAATCCGTGGCTCCCAGTGTGGCGTTCCTCAGACGTTAGGCTTAGGCTTAGGCTTAGGCTTAGGCTTAGGCTTAGGCTTAGGCTTAGGCTTATGTTCTTGGTCCAATCCTGCCGTTGAGATCTCCAGTGATGACCTTGAAGAGTGTATGATCTTCTCTGTAGAGCTTCTCCAAGCCCATATAGAACGCTTCGATTTCTTTTTCGTCATAATTTGGTGTCGGCGCGTTGACGACGAAGATTGTCAAAGCCGGCATTGATCTTTTTAGTTGTAAACACCCGATTCGGGTTGTTAGCTGTTCGAATAAATCGATGTTCATGGGCGAACTCGTGTTAACGACAACGCCGACGTCGCCGACTCCTGCGCTGTTGCATGTTCCGAGGAACAGTTCTTCTCCTGTGTCATAGACGGTCATAGACGGCGTTGAATGGGTGGCGTCGTCTCCTTTCGGCCAGTCCGGTGACGTTGAACCTTATCCTTCTTGCTTGCTCCTGCAAGTCCTCTATCGAGGACTCGGATGCAAGTGTGCGTGCATTGTAGGTACAGATCGTCACCATATTTTTTTGTAATCCAGGTAGCTTCAATTAGCCGTGAGATTTTTACTGCCTATTCGCACTCGTCCAACCCAACGCTGTGAAATTGGAGCTCTTTTGGTGTTAGAGGAATGAGGCCCGTTTTTTTTACTGTGTTTAGCATTTTGATACCCACGTATAGCTTACTGGGCTCTGAACGTGGGGCTGGGTAGACTCATGGGTAGCTTGCCAGTTTCTCCCGGAGTGGACATGGGGCTTATTTGTTGGACGCGACTACTAACCGCTTTCCATGTGTTTCGCTGTCACTTGATTGCAGGCTTTTGGCCGAATTGACTCGTAGAATACAATCCGCATTAACTTGAACGTGCCCACACACGCTTGCATGAATACGCCTCATAAATGCAGAATGTATGTGCCAAATTAGCGCAGCGTAAACAGGGATTCCATCCCCTGGATCCACCTGTGTCTCAGTGATGCAAAGGTCGATTTTGGTCCGCGATTAACCCCCCTATCCTCTACCTGGGGACGCGCACGTACCGTCGCGCCTAACCGGATCGAGGTCTCTCCACATGAGAGACCTCCGTGGATGTATATATATATACATACATATGTGTATATATATACATGTATATACGTATATGTATACATATATGTACACGTATATATGCAAATACATATGTATATATGTATATTCCTCCCAACGGTTTACCGCCTCATCGTGGCTGGGACGTGTTCCTGGGTGTCGCACTGCGATATACAGCGGGGAGATTCGCCCTCCGGCACGGTCTCCTTAGCTGAAAAGGAATGCGGCGTTTCCATCAGGAAGCCTAGCTAGGAGTAAACCAATACCAGGATCCACCACCGTTCTGGTATCAATGTCGCATGGTGGCGAATCTCCTTCTGATCCACAAGGGATGCGACTACCTGTGGTGGTGAAGACCTGGGCAGACCTTGGCCAGGTTGACCTCGGGATTGCAGGGAACCACATTGGCTTAATTAGCAAATCTCCGAAAAATATTGGTGATGCTAGGGCCCGTACAACTAGTGGTGACGGGCCGTTCAAGTGTCAAGTAAATAAGCATGTATATTAAAAGCTGTGGGAGGTTTCATAACAGCCTTACTATTAACTCTTTTCTTGACGAATATCAACTTTCTCAAATAGCACCATGTCGTTTTCACTGAATGCGTTCAAAGAGCTATTTTTTTTATTTTTTAATAAATCTTTATGTTAGTATTATAGAATTATGTTATTTCGAAATGTAACTGTCATGAATGAAGAAGTTCTGAACAAGCGATTCTAAAGGCTTAATAGGAAGCATTGTCGTGGAGTGCTAAATGATTTGATCGTTATGACGAAAGCCAACCACAGCACTCGAGCATCATCATTCACTGTAAATTTTCTTTAGGCAAAATAAAATATTCGGAACGTGTGTATGATGCATGCATGGATTCATTTGATGCGCTACCGTTGGCAGCCTTGATGAACCAACAATTTCTGTGCGTTCACGGCGGACTTTCGCCAGAGATTCACACTCTTGATGACATTAAGAGGGTTAGTCGTCGATTTTCAATCATTAGTCAGAAGTCGTTTTGTGGAGTTTTTCTTAGTTTCATTCCTCTATGCTGTGTCTTTTTCTTTTCTCAAGTTTGTAATAATCTGCTGTAATATGGTAGGTTTGTCGTGGTTATTATCGTGTTTATAATTCAAGTGTCTACATTAAAATTGTATAGTTCTACAGCCACAATGATGCTGGGATATTTGCAAAACTCTGGACCGCGGGTGTCTGTGGTAGGGAACGAACGCGCTATTACCCTTTCTTGTGGCCAACACGTTCACCACCACACCATGCGGGTCCTTCGTTTCGCATATCTCTCAGCTAGTTTATGTATAGTTTTATCCATATTTCAAGCTTTGGCATGATTAAATCGTATACTTTTAGCTAGATCGCTTTAAAGAGCCGCCAGCCTTCGGTCCGATGTGTGATCTGTTATGGTCAGATCCACTAGAAGATTTCGGCAGCGAAAGAAATGCAGAGCAATTCAGTCATAATTCAGTGCGAGGATGCTCGTACTTTTATAGGTTGTTCCGCTTTTTTTCATACTGCTTTAGAGAAGAAGAAAGATCCTTTATGCATCCTTAAACCTAAGCGAAAGCGGACAAGAATTTTTGCCCTGGTCTGTTTGCCTGCGCTCGCTGTTTTGGTTGATTTTTTGAGAACAGATTTCAGCACTTACAATAGGGTTACTGGGTAGAGCAAGGTTTTCTGGGAAGTGATGAGAGTGAATTAAATGAGTGAAGCTACTGTTGAGTTGAAACATTGAGAAGTAATTAGCCATCCATAATCAGTGCTTGCTGTTATAATACATATTTGAAACTAACAAGTGATCATAAATAAGTTAAAGTCTCTGTTAGTCCTTGTCGCACTCCACGAATGTCCAACGGTTTTTGTTCCTTCTAGTATCACTAGGAGAACCATATTTTTCGTCGTAGACTCTGTATTTTTACTGGTCTTGTTGATAGATTACCCATAGGGTTTCGTACTTCACTCTAGGGTTTGGACTTACGAGTACTCTGTCGGGTTCTTCACGAGTATCGAGTTTGGGGGATATGTTGAAGGTTGTCTAGAAGAAATTTTTCGTTGAAATATCCAATTGTAGAGAATTTTCAATGAGTCTTATGGTGAAGTTGTATATGTGAGGTACGCCGAAGGGGACCACCGATTACAACCAATTTTGTGTAGCAGTTTTTCATCTAATTGTGTTGATCAAGGTCTAACAATTACACTGAAATCATTATTTTTCAGTTACGCCGCATGTTGTGATTTTCTACAGCACAACAATCTGTTGTCCATAATTCGTGCCCATGAAGCTCAGGATGCGGGGTGGGTGTTCAGATTTTCAGTTAGCAATGAAATTTTCTATCGACACTTTCAAATTGTCGTGGTCAGATTAAACGGTAGTGCTCATTAGAACTAGTCTTATGGTTATTTTAGGTATCGAATGTACCGAAAATCACAAGCGACGGGATTTCCTTCACTGATTACCATATTTAGTGCTCCAAATTATCTCGATGTATATAACAACAAAGGTTATCTTATACTTTTTGAAAGCATACCTGGTATATTTAAAGGATAACATTGTCAGTTACTTGTTGCTGATAAGTTTTACTTCCTGGTATTTGTGAATTGACTGGATAAAAATACGATTTAGAAATGCGATATTTAGTATTCAAATTGTTGGGCTTACACGAGGTTGATAAATCTATTTATTTCGACTAACGTTTCGACTTTTTCGTCTTCATCACGGCCGAAGTGATCCGTGTCAGTGGTCCACAGTCGTTCGTTATTTGGACCACCGACACAGATCACATTGGCTCTGATGAAGGCAAAGACGTCGAAACGTTAGCCGGAATAAACACATCAACCTCGTGTAAACTCAACAATTTGAATACATGTTGATTATTTCAATATTTAGTTTTCCAGCAATTTGTTAAAGTCTTTTTTGATGCAGGTTTGATGAACAATGTATCATTTTGCTACAGTTATTATTAATCCTGAAATGCCTAACCAGATATTCCTTGTGTAGTAACGCATACGAAACAACATTTCTTTGATGGTAGTAAGGTTCAATTAATATTTAGTATATTTTAATATTTTTTAAAATATATTCGATATTTTATTGTTTATTATATTTATTTCAGTGTTTACTTAATAATACTTTACATTAATATGTTAATGTTTTCGATGAGACCATCATGACATCAGGTTCTATTTAGCGGCAATCTTGAAGTACGAAAATAACGTGATGAACATTCGGCAGTTTAACTGTAGCCCTCATCCGTATTGGTTGCCGAATTTTATGGACGTTTTCACTTGGTCACTACCGTTTGTCGGCGAAAAAGGTACATTTGTAATCACGTTCTTATAGACGTTAAGAGGCGGCAGAATTCCACCATACTTTGATAAATCACCTTTAAAATACTTGCGGCGATTTTTCTAGTGTTAAAAACCTGCTGTTTTAACTCGCATTTTTGGATGGCCTCTTTACCAATCACGTAATGCAGAGCACAACAGTTGTTGCTAGGATTCTGGTGATTCTCGGAATCTGTTTAATCTTCGCTGGGCCTCCGAATGAAGCTGTTGTCGCTCTTTCTCAACTCAAGGGATTTTACTGCATCATAAATCTCTTCGAAACATCACAGTTTGCCACTGGAGAACAGCTTATGCTTAAAACGGGGTAGTAAAAAAAAATTGGTATAAAGAAGGAGTAGCGCAGTGGTTAGTGATGTATTCTATCAGGAAGCAAAGTTGGACTCTCTACTAATATTGCACTCCTATCCACATGAATACGCCTTAGCTCAGGTGCCTCTAAAATTGCGAGCAGAATCGCCTCGACTAGCATTCTACGACATTCATAAAGAAGGTGAAATGCTCAAACAGTATCTTAACAACAAGCGAAATGTTCGGAGATCTTTGCGGTAGGCAAATGAGAGGAAAACGAATCGAATGTAAGTTGTGCTAGGATCCGCACAGCACATGTGTGACGCATCAAATAAAAATAAAAAGTTTTTATTTATTTTTTATTTTGTATGACCGGACTTCTCGTCTACTGTGCGGATCCCAGCACTTCTCGCATTCGATTCATTTCCTCACATCCATTGTCTACGAAAATGTTTCAACTTTTACGTGTGGCTTCGGTTACTGCTTGAGGATTTTCATTTCATCTTGAATGTTCGATCAATTTTCTCTGGAATCCTGAGATAATCGGACTGGAGCATTCCTAATTGGATTGTAAAGAGTGATTTTTCCCAGACAAGTCCGGTACCAATTTTCAGACGCTGGAGGGATGAGTGCTTTGGTTGGCCTAGAGCTTAATCGAACTAGCACCATGCTTACGATATATATATATACACTGTATATAAAAGGAACCTTGTGAACCTCGGACGCAGAATCGAAGGGAGGTATACTGCAGGGCACCGTCGACTACTGCGCTGCGCGCTGTCCCCTGCACTATATATATATATATATATATATATATATATATATATGTGCATACGTGCATATACAGACATCTATACACATATGTACCTTTATTACATGCATTATGTATATGTGCTTTCTTTCATAACCATATTACAGTGACGGAAATGCTAGTCCACATCTTGAATATATGTTCGGATGACGAATTGATGGCCGATGGAGACGACACATTTGAAGGTGCGAGTTCTTTAAATCGGCTGTTCATTGATTCTAATGCCCGATTACTGACATGGAATTTTCAATTTAATATGCATCGGTGTGGCCATGAAGTGAAATATTTCCTTCTTCTATCGAAGCCTACCCTTATATGCAGCGTTATCAACTGATTGTTATTGTAGTACTTTAACAATGGTTTTCGACCTAGAATTCTATCCGAAGTGGTTACTTCTACCTACTTGGTTAGTTGCAAAACTACGTGGTGTAATAAACTGACGTGTGAAGTGTTTAATGGAGATCGAAAACGACAACATATTTGAAATATTAGCTCAGTTCAGGGGATTATGTTCTTATATGAACTGTTTGAAGTTTGCTGATCTCCTTTCTAATATACCTAAGCCTAAGCGCATTGGAGTACATAGTCGTGGGTGTGCTTATGTCTGGGTATGTTCTATCCTGCACGTCGATTAAGCCAGATGTGAATGACTGTACTGGGTTCTTTGGAAATTAATGTCGGGTTTTAAACCTTATCTATTTTTCCTTTTTTTCTGTATTTTCGAAGTTGCATATTACAACTCAGAGTGTTTTATTGATCGAAATAAATCCGTTAAAATCTAAACATTTTTGCGAACGAGAATCAAGTTTTCGCACTACTTTCACAAGGTGTTGGGCTTCTGGAAGCGATGAAGTTGTTGAAGGCAGTTTCATCCTCAACATGGTTTATAAAGTATTTCTAACACAGGAAATTATTCAGGTGCTTAAAGAAGTGGTAGTCGGTAGACGAGTGCTCTGGCGAGTATGGTGAATGAGGTAGAGTTTCCTATCGAAGCTCGTTCAACTTTCGTGGCGTCGATAAGTGTCCGCGCGTTATTGTGCAGAAGGGTTGTTGTCTTTCTTTTGACTAGAGCGGACACAGATGTTGTCGAAGTTTTTGGTGCACTTTGGCGATCTGCTGGATGTGCTTCTCCACCGTAATCGTTTCACCTGGATTCACGATGCTGTTATAGAATAAAACAGCTTCAAACCATCAACCGTTCACTGTGAAGTTCTTTTGGTGCAGTTTCGGCTTTGGGAAGTGGTGCGGTGCTCCGTCGTGGTCTGACCACTGAACCAATCGTTTTCAGTTGTCGTACAGGATTCACTTCTCGTCATACTCGTAATATGGTATAGAAACGGGTCTCGAGGAGGCAGACTATACTTTTTAACGGCGATTTCTTCGATTCTGGTTCATTTGGTGCGGCATTCATTTGTTGAGCTTCTTCGATTTTTCAATATTTTTAGATGCACTTAAACAGTTGGGTTGCTTGCACCGAACCCTTCCATAAGTTGTCGAGCAATTGTGCGTGCATTTGCTAACAGGGAAGCCTTCAAGTAATTCTTCAAGAAAAACACGTCCTCGAGCTCCCTCATCTTTATTCGCGTTCGTTAACACTTCCTTGGCCTCACGTGTCGTTGATGTTTCGAGCCATTTACGCTACATATACCCGAATTCGAATTCATAGAACTAGATTTACCTTCTAACCTTTAAATTTTGTCAAAAATTCAAATTATTTCACATTTCAATTATGTGCAGTGAAAGTGCACGAAATGAGCTTTGCAATAATGCGTAATAGTACGGCATTCACAAAACTATTGCTAAAACATATGAAAGAAAAACGAAGTTACAAAATCGACATCAATTTCCGAACAACGTAGTAATTAGAGGTGGATAGGGGTCGGCTAAAACTAAACTTTCCTCATGCAGCAGACATGATAAGGCACACAACAGGCTATTCAAGTTATCTGGCAGACCACAGTGGAGTGAGGATGAATATTTCTGGCCAAAATCAGCGAAATTAAGTGGCGTCATTGTGTTGGTGGTCATTCATGCCGAAGATTCAATTAAAGTCGGTATTGACGTTACTGTTCTGCTAGGTGCCAGTTATTATTAATCCGACTGCTGCAGAATGAATTTCGCCACAATAGAAGTAATTTTTGTTGGAAATCGACCAAATCGACCAAGGTCCCCTCTCCCCCCTATCCACCCTTGTATCTTAGGGAATTACCTAGTGGGGTTAAGTCACCTAGGCGCGGCTAGAGTCCTGTATGAAAGACAGTGCTCTATGCTCTATGTTGCTACTTCTTTCGTGCAGTGTTCCACTCTATTCAATTCGTCTGGCTCTAAATCCATAAGCATCTCAGCAGAGGAGATGGTCACCTTTCCTCTCTCCCTTTTCAACATACCCTGCCATCAATTGGTTAGGATTATGCGATGTTGCTTTATGAATAACTGGTCCTGTACATATACTGAATATTGATCGATGGATCTTTGATACAAATTGTGGCTTTTTTAGCTATTTTTAAGGTATTTTTTAAGTATAAGATTTGGGTTGTCATCGAGGAGGAGTGCGAATATTTCTGTTGTCGTCAAATTTATGAAGTTCAGACAATATCTTTTGTTATTTTCTTGACCCTCTTCATTTGTAAATGGGATGAGTGGTGCTGGTCATGAACTAAGAATTTTTTCACTGTTAAGGGAATTTTTTCTGTGTTTATTTATCAAGTTCATAAATTCTACACTAAAAACAATCAGTTGTTTAACGCTGCAGCATGGTGTGAATTTACATTGAACCAAAACAACTTTCAAAAGATTTTGTGAATGCAGTTACATTTGTACCATTTCTCTTGGCCATTCTATTCAATTTCCACCAACATCTAAGCACTCTCCTAAAGAACGTTGGTGTTATCTCCTTTCTGTCTGTCGTAATTTCCTCATGCGCTACCTCTTTTTCTGTCCCGCTTCCGAATAGATGTGCTGTTTTTCTATGCTCTACACATTTTTCAAATGTTTAGGCGGTCCTATGCGTGTCAGTCCAGATTTTCAGCATGCTGTTAGGAGTCTATATTATAGATCCGTATCGTATATCTTTAGCTTTAATACTACGTTAGTTGATGAGAAACAACACATTAGAGTAGCGAATTCGTTCGTTGGCATGTCAAAGCATGGTGCAGATAAAGTAGGCACATTTTTTAGTCCATAGACATTAGAGGCAGGATCAAGGTTATTTTGAAAGAAGTAGTAAGAAAATACAAGTCAAAATATTTGCTTGTATGTGTCATAATTATCACTGTCTGACGACCATTGGTGAATAGCATCCAACAGGTTGTTTTTCTATGGGACACCAGAATGTTGTTCACTCAATTCCGCATTGTTTAGTGATTGCCTCCAAGAAGAATAATTTCTAAAAACTCATGAAAATTGGCTAATAATAGAAACCTTTGAACAACATTAATGTGAAAATCTCTTGAAAAATGCTAGTGCTTAATGACATCCTGGTACATAGTGTAAACATTAATCCGGACGATATTATCAGTTGCTTCTTCGCATTCTTCTTGTACATACGCGAGGTATTATTTTATTCTTTATTCACGAAAAAGCTGACACTTCGGCGGATTTCGCCTTCCTCAGAGCCTGTAGAGGTCAAGTTGACAGCAATCTATGCGGCCAAACGCCTCCATAACCAAGCAGAAGAAACAATAAACCATGATTTCAATCTCATCGAAAACAAAACAGCTTCTTCAATCAGTATTTCCCGTGGAGATGTTCTGCACCGAGCTCACATGGAAGTGCCTCCATCACATTAAAATATCAGTCTTCAATACTGTTTGGGAGCATGGGTAATTACGACGCATTCCTCTCTGCAGTTCACTTTCGGATTCTTGGAATTTATCCAGAATGATTCGAGAGTTTTA